TATTAAAATTATTAAAATTATTAAAATTATTAATTTCTGCCCTGAGAGGCTCCCGGAAAATTAAAATTATTAAAATTATTAAAATTATTAAAATTATTAAAATTATTAAAATTATTAAAATTATTATTTTCTGCCCTGAGAGGCTCCCTGAAAATTAAAATTAGAAAAATATTAAAATTATTAAAATTATTAAAATTATTAATGTCTGCCCTGAGAGGCTCCCGGAAAATTAAAATTATTAAAACTATTAAAATTATTAATTTCTGCCCTGAGAGGCTCCCGGAAAATTAAAATTATTAAAATTATTAAAAATTATTAAAATTATTAAAATTATTAATTTCTGCCCTGAGAGGCTCCCCGAAAATTAAAATTATTTAAATTATTAAAATTATTAAAATTATTAAAATTATTAATTTCTGCCCTGAGAGGCTCCCGGAAAATTAAAATTATTAAAGTTATTAAAATTATTAAAAAAAATTAAAATTCTTATTTTCTGCCCTGAGAGGCTCCCGGAAAATTAAAATTATTAAAATTAATACAATTATTAAAATTATTAAAATTACTAAAATTATTAAAAATTATTAAAATTATTAAAATTATGAAACAATTAATAATTAAAATTTTAATAATTTTAATAATTTCAATACTTTTAATAATTTTAATAATTTTAATAATTCTAATAATTTTAATAATTTTCATTTTCCGGGAGTCTCTCAGGGCAGAAATTAATAATTTTAATATTTTTAAAAATTTTAATAATGTTAATAATTTTAATAATTTTAATAATTTTAATAATTTTAATAATTTTAATAATTTTAATTTTCCGGGAGCCTCCCAGGGCAGAAATTAATATTTTTAATAATTTAATAATTTTAATAATTTTAATAATTTTAATAATTTTAATTTTCCGGGAGCCTCTCAGGGCAGAAATTAATAATTTTAATAATTTTAATAATTTTAATAATTTTAATTTTCCGGGAGCCTCTCAGGGCAGAAATTAATAATTTTAATAATTTTAAAAATTTGAATAATTTTAATAATTTTAATAATTTTAATAATTTTAATAATTTTAATAATTTTAATAATTTTAATTTTCCGGGAGCCTCCCAGGGCAGAAATTAATAATTTTAACAATTTTAATAATTTTAATAATTTTAATAATTTTAATAATTTTAATAATTTTAATAATTTTAATTTTCCGGGAGCCTCTCAGGGCAGAAATTAATAATTTTAATAATTTTAATAATTTTAATAATTTTAATAATTTTAATAATTTTAATAATTTTAATAATTTTAATAATTTTAATTTTCGGGGAGCCTCTCAGGGCAGAAATTAATAATTTTAATAATTTTAATATATTTTTAATAATTTTTAATAATTTTAATAATTTTAATTTTCCGGGAGCCTCTCAGGGCAGAAATTAATAATTTTAATAATTTTAATAATTTTAATAATTTTAATAATTTTAATTTTCCGGGAGCCTCTCATGGCAGAAATTAATAATTTTAATAATTTTAATAATTTTAATAATTTTAATAATTTTAATTTTCCGGGAGCCTCTCAGGGCAGAAATTAATAATTTTAATAATTTTAATATTGTTAATAATTTTAATTTTCCGGGAGCCTCTCAGGATTATTAAAAATATTAAAATTATTAAAATTATTAAAATTATTAAAATCATTAAAATTATTAAAATTATTAAAATTATTAAAATTATTAAAATTATTAAAAATTATTAATTTCTGCCAACGTCCTTTTGAAATCCGACCGTAGGGTCTATTTAGAAGCCGTGCTCTTCTAGGTTTATTACATTTAGGTATATGGACCTGTATTATAAATCACAAGCCCCAGCTTCTAAATAGACCCGGTTTTGCTCACACACGGGGGGGGGAGTGGTTCAGGGTTTCGGGCTTTGGGTTGTTTTAGGTGATGAGGGTTTGTTCTTGCAACTATAGCCGCCTGTGAAAAGGGTTGAGTTTTCCATGCGTTGAAGTCCAGAGAAGCTTTAACGATTGAGCTCTCAAAACGTAAGCTCGGGTGGGGGATCTCTGTGCAACCCCGGCACTCGGCAACCCCTTCGCAAGGCACCAATGCTACCCCCTAACTGCACCTTAAACCCTCCCCAACCAACGAACCCTAAAAGCCGTGAACCTTCGGCCCCCTTCGAAGCCTCCTTTTCCGCGAGAGCCTGAAACGAATCCTGGGGTGCCAAACCCCTGAAATTCCAAGATGCTCAAAACCCTCAACGCCAAATCCCCAGCCCAGAAACCTAAGATCCTCACCAACAGCCTGAAAACCGAAGCCGCTGAAGCACACATTGCTGAACTCTGAATGAAGCTCAAACAGAGGTAGCCCAGATTGAGGGATTTGTAAGGTTGAAGAAGCTCTCAGCTCCCCAAAAATGGGTAAAATTCCCGACCATCGCCGAGGGTTGGGCGCCTTCTTCGTGCCTTCATCGATCTTGGCTTCCGAGCTTCATGGGGACAGAGGTGGGGAGGTTGGCATAGTGAAAGTGTTCTTTTGGGGGGTACTTTTTTTGTGGGGGGTTCCAAGGAATCAAGAAGAACTGCTCTGTTTGGGTCGTCTTCTGGGAGGCCTTCGGCTGAGTCCTGGGGATGCGAGCCAACTCAGCGGCTAGAACGGCCAGCGGCACCTGTGACACATTGCGCACTTGCTCATAACTTGTGCTGGCTTGTTCTGGCATGACGGTCATTCAAGCTTAGACGAGAAGGCGGACTTGCTTGGAGGATCTGCTCCGCGACTCCGCGGCTCCGCGACTCCGCGGCTCCGCGGCTCGCACGTGGGCGCAAGGGCCCCGACAAGTTCGTTATGGGTTTGCTCTGCTCTGCAAAGGCTGCGTCCCTGGAGCTCAAACCGCGAAAAAGCAACCCTGAGCCCAACCTTTCCGAAATTCACTGAAGTGATCTGATTTGCAGATCCTCAGCCTTTTGCACCCTGCGCCAAGGCCATGTTCTCGCGATGTTGTCCTCGCAGCGTCGGCGCTCAGCTTGCGCCTGCACTGGACACAGGCAGTCGGGGTTTAGGGCCGGGTGGGGGCTTCGGGGTTTGAAGCCATCGGCCCAGAGAAAAGCCTCAGCAACCCTTGGGCCCGAAGCCGTTCAAAACCCGACCTTCAACGCTTTTGGGGGCTCTCACTGCAAGCTTTGGGACATCAGCTTGGCGTTTTTACAGGGGTAGCCGTCTCTCCACACCGAAGTCCCGAACATGCTGCATTTGCTCACGTCTGTAGGCTGGGGAGGCAGGTTTCGAGTTTTTGTTGGTTGCGGTTTGGGGGTGACGTGACTGCAGGGTTTGTTAGGGCGATTCAGGTGGACGCCTTTCAGCGAGGCCTTTGTGAGGACAGAAGGTGAGTTACCAATCTTGTTTTCACTCCCCAGGGCTTGGGGGCATCGGGCAGCGAACTTAGGACTACATGAACCTTAGAAGTTCTCATAGTAATAGGGCTTAGGGCTATCCCAATTATAGGGTTCATGTGGCCAAGGTTGCGAAAGGGAGAGCACACATCAGCTTGCCAACCGATGTCAACCCTACACCTTATGTCCAAACCCTAAACCCGAATTACTCCCTCAACCCTAAACCCTAAACCCTAAACACTAAACCCTAAACCCTAAGCCCCAAACCCCAAACCCCAAACCCCAAACCCTTCCAGCTCCGAGGAACCTCGTGAATGGAACGCCCTGGGCGTTGGCAGCTCGGGTTTCCTTGGCTTTTGGGGCCCTTAACAGGGGGGGGTTTAGGGCCTGAAAGGGGCTCTTAAGAGCTTTAGGGTTTAGGGTTTAGGATTTAGGGATGTTGGTGCTTTTAGGCTTTGGCGGGTTGGGGCGGGGGGGGGGAACGTTTTGGGTTTAGGGTTGGCGCTCTTTTACGACACAACCCCGTTCCCTAAAGCCTGAGCCCTCCCCCGAATCTCTCACATCCACCCAGGCCCACCAGGAGGTGGTCCGCCTGCTGCTCAAGGCGAGATGCGGGCAGTTTCCCTCCGGACTCCTCAGGAGCTTTAAGTACTTAAGTAGATTTCAGGCTTTAGGGGTTTAGGGTTCAGGTGTTTCGGTGTTTAGGGGTCATGGTTTGGGACTTAGGGGTTTAGGGTTTAGGGCTGCCACAACAGTGTCGGGGGCTCGAACTCAGCACTTGTCGAGGCATGTTTCCTGCAACTGCGAAAATGTGCAATGCCTACCATTTCATGCCCTGACAATGGCCGGTGAGCCCTATGAAGCAGATCTTAAACCACTATCTTCCACTGAGGTAAGCTTGTGGCGGGGTGGGGGGGGGGGGGGAACTGGTAGTCGAGCAGACCAGCAGGCGTGGCGGAAAGCTCAGCCCGGCGGGTCCAGGGCTCCGGGTTTGGAGGTCTTTGGGCTGGGGTGAGGCAATTTTGGGTTCATTCAACTTCAGAGGGCTTTCGGAGTTTGGGGGGGGTTTCCGGCGTTGATGAGGGCGCAAGGCTCGAAAGGGACTCCCCCTGCGCCCCGTACTGAAGTCCCGAGCTTTCCTGAAAATGTCGCATCCGTAGTGCGGCGTCTGGCTTTTGGGGCAGGCTTCCACGCCCCAAAGACTTCCAAATCATCCATATCTAAGCAAACCAGAGCATGAACTCCGGCCGCCAACCTGAACTTAGCTTGCGGCCATCACCTGAAAATCCGAAACACCTCGACTGGCCCTGGGCTGAATACGCTTCGCTTGGATCAGCGCGAGGCCGAGACGCGCTCGCAGCACGAAATGTTCGGCTCCGACCTCGTCTTCGGGGTATTGTACGGGAGCACCTTGCCGCCGCAAGGCCCCCCCAAGTCCCAGGCCCCATGGGACCTGTAAGACCTTCGGAATGGCACCCGCCTCGTGTCAAAGCCCTTCTGCTCGAGGCACGTCTCGAGGCACGCCGGCCTTTTGCTGCGAACTGCGCAGCAGCACCACATTCAGACGTTATAATCATTATGTAAATTGTCTAGAGTCCGTAGGGTAGTAGAGTGTTCCGGAAAGATGTATCGCTGGCCTGTGCTATGGCTCTGCAGCTTGGCCGCGTCAGCCGGGCCCAAGGACGAGCTCTTTGCAGCCGTGAGCGCCGGCGATGCAGATGCAGTTCAGAGGCTACGGGCTTTTGGTCTTGGCATAGTGGTGGCGGTGGGTTTTCGACTTGCGATAGACCGAATAGACGTTCTGGCTTATGGCTTGTTGTTGATAAGCCCAGGCCCCAAAAGCCCGAAACTCTTTAAATTCGCCCGGGCAGGCTTCTGGCCAGTGGCAGCTTCACTGGCGCCAACGACATGGTGTTCCTCGATAGTTATGGGGGGACGTCCACTCTGCTGCATGAAGCCAGCTTGCAGGGAGATGTCGCTGTCGTGCGGTTACTACTCACTGCTTGGCCAGAGGGTGCGCAAGCCGCGAGCGGTTTGGACCGCGTGCCGTTGCACCTCGCTTGCCACAACGGCAGCATCGAGCTCGTGAAGCTTCTGTTCGACCAGTGGCCCGACGGCCTCAAGCTTGCTGACGACTACGGCAAGACTCCTTTGCACATAGCAGCCAGTCGTGACAACATCGAGATCGTTCGTTTCCTTGCCCAGCAATGGCCTGATGGCCTCAAGCTTGCTGACGGCAGCGGCGAGACTCCTTTGCACAGAGCAGCCGACAGTGACAACATCGAGATCGTTCGTTTCCTTGCCCAGCAATGGCCTGATGGCCTCAAGCTTGCTGACAGCTGGGGCGAGACTCCTGTGCACATAGCAGCCAGTCATGGCAACACCGAGATCGTTCGTTTCCTTGCCCAGCAATGGCCTGATGGCCTCAAGCTTGGTGACGTCTGGGGCGGGACTCCTTTGCACAGAGCAGCACGTCGTGACAACATCGAGATCGTTCGTTTCCTTGCCCAGCAATGGCCTGATGGCCTCAAGCTTGCTGACGGCAGCGGCGAGACTCCTTTGCACAGAGCAGCCGAAAGTGACAACATCGAGATCGTTCGTTTCCTTGCCCAGCAATGGCCTGATGGCCTCAAGCTTGCTGACGGCAACGGCGAGACTCCTTTGCACATAGCAGCCAGTCGTGACAACATCGAGATCGTTCGTTTCCTTGCCCAGCAATGGCCTGATGGCCTCAAGCTTGCTGACGGCAGCGGCGAGACTCCTTTGCACAGAGCAGCCGACAGTGACAACATCGAGATCGTTCGTTTCCTTGCCCAGCAATGGCCTGATGGCCTCAAGCTTGCTGACGGCTTCGGCCGGACTCCTTTGCACAGAGCAGCCATAGCAGCCGGAAGCTACTTTTACAACATCGAGATCGTTCGTTTCCTTGCCCAGCAATGGCCCGACGGCCTCAAGCTTGCGGACGATGACGGCTGGACTCCTTTGCACATAGCAGCCAGAGGTCGCCTCGTTCAGGTCATCCAACTCCTCCTGACGCAATGGCCCGATGAAGCAAGTGCTGCTGACACAGACGGCTTGAAAGTTGAATTGGAATGCCGCTTCCTGGTCGACACAGTTTGCAACCTCAACCTGACCGAAGTCCAAGCCTGGAAGGAGGCTGCGGTGGACTTGCAGTGCTCAAAGCCGGAGGATTTGTCGAAGACGGATGTGAAACTCTGGCTTGACGGCTGTGGCGGGCGCCCCATTTGGGCTGACATCTTTGGCACACTCGTGGACCGGCTGAAGGATCCAGAAGCCAAGGACGGGCAACAAGAGACAGGCTTCATGACATCATGGATCGTTCTCTCGATCTTTTTCCCCAAGTAACCTGGCAAAGCTAAGGTTGCTAAAGGATTCTAATGTGAAGAGTAAAGAGGGTTAGGTTGCGATAGTTGTTCAACGCCCGGGCGCGCAGCTCTCACCTACAGGTGGGCTTTGACTACGGGATTCCAGGGTGGCTGTTTACGTATAAACACCCAAGATTGCACCCTTTTGAGGCTTGGGTGGCTCCGTGTTGCGAAAACATGGGACGTACGCTCCTGTTTTTTTGGGCTGTTGGATGGGTTCGCTTCGTGTGTCCCTTACAAGGGGATCTGCGTGCTCGACACGGAAGTGCATAACTAGCACTTTCTTGGCCGGGCATCATTTCTGAAGTCACAGTCCCGTGAGCATGCCGCGCGTCTCGAAGCGTGGCATTTGGCTTCGCGATGGTACTTTCGCCGGCGTCCCGTGCGCATTCCGTGCTCGAAATTGCACTCACTCGTTGTAGGTGGACATTTCGCTCTCGCAGGCGCCGGTATGGCCGTGGGTTTTGGGGGTCGCGCTTTTCATCGTGGGGTTTGGTCTGTCCGGCATGAGAACTGCCTGTGAAAAAGGGAGAGCCATTCATCTTGGCATGAAGGAGTTCTTGCAATCCCGCATCACGTTCGAGGATGTGATTGCCAACACCCTGTCCGACTGGCTCACATGGGTTGCATTGGTCTCCGCTGTCAGTGCGGCAGTTGTAGCCATTCGTCTGGAAATTCTGGCAGCCAAGTGGATGCAGAAGCGACAAAGCGCACGGCTGGGTGCGCCAGCGGAGGAGGCTGCGCAGGACCCCTTCGAGCAGGGTGCCAAGCAGCTGGTGAGCCTAGCCTTTGCGAAGAACGCGTGGCTCCTCAGGCTGTGGAGGTGGCTCGAAGTCTTAGTTGCGATTTTGTGGTTGGGGTTCGCGAACTTGCTGGTTCGCTGGATCTGGTGGCTGCCAGTGGTCCTCCTCTGCTACGTCGGCCCGGCAGCCAGGCACTACGGAGTCGGGAGTCTGCTCGAAGCCCCCGCGAAGGCCATCATGACCAAGGACACAGCCTCACAGGCCCAACTTTGCTCGCTCAGCTCCTGTGGTTTTGTCACGTATGAGAACTTCTGAACAAGGGGAACGTGCTACGAAGAAGAGACACACGACTTCACTTCCGAAGATTCAGTTTATAGCCACCTCGGCGACATGCTCTTCAAAGGTTTCGGGCAATCCGGTTCCCCTTCGAAACGCCCATGTAGGCCGTTCATAGTGGGTCACTGAAGAGGCTCGCGTAAGGCATTCCGGTACCGTCATTCATGTCGATTCTAGCAGGGTTTTTGATGGCGGAAATGGGCCTTTATGGAGGCTTCTTTTCCTCCTCCTTGTAGGCGGGTCAGTGAAAGCGCCACTTTGGAGGGCTGGGCCGGGCCCTGAAAGACAAGGCCAGGCGAAACTTTTTTCTGGGAGGAATTTCTGGGATTTCCGGGGGGCAACTGGCCGAGTTGCTTATCAGGATCAACAGCAAGTGAGGGTCAATGAGGCAGACGCCACGCGCAGCAAGTTCGTTTTTGTCAAACGGGGTTTGGGGCTTAGGGCTCGTGGTTTGGGGATGTTTGGGGTTTAGGGCTCGTGTTTTGGTGTTTTGGGTTTGGGTTTGTTGTGGTGTCGATTTCAGGTTTTATGGTTTCGAATGTAGGCTTTGGGTTTAGATTTGAGGGTGTAAGCAATCACCGCCAGGGCATCAACAGCCACCACGTCGCGATGAAGCCAACCCCGAACTTCAAACCCTAAACCCCTCTGTCCTGCAAGCACTTGAACCCTTAAGCCCTATCCCTTGTCGTGAAGCTTACATAAGCCCTAAACCTGAAGCATGAAGCCTCTAAGGCTTTGTCGGCTTAGCACGGTTTGAGACCACACTGGCACCCACAGTTCCAAGACCAGTGAGCGACTAGAAATTACGGTTTCCCGAAGCCACTGTCCAGGTGGCCGGCTTCCTGCGCACTCTGATCTTGACGTGTCTTTGTGGCGGAGTATACTTCTCGGCATTTGGCGACGCGTACTTGTTTTCCATACATTCCACGGTGGGCGCCTCCGATTCCATGCTGCTGAATCCTGCCCTTGAGGACTGGTCGCAGCACAAGTTCAATGTGTGGGATGGCAGCCAGCTGCGTCAGCACTGGCTTTTCCAGTGGGCCCCTGAAGGTGTTTCAGCAATTGGTCTTTTTGATCTGGCTCGGCACTCGTATTTGGGCCTTCTGGGCTTCTACTTGCTCTGTCTGCTCAGCGCAGTCCTGAGCTCCTGCGTGCCCAGCTTGCGAGCGCGGATTCGAAAGCGCAGAGTGCCTGAGGACGTGAAGCGCTGGGCCGTAGAGGAGTTGCTTCAGAGCACTCGCCCCCGAGATTTCTGCACGGTGCACAAGAGTCTCAGGCCGGTGCTCGGTTTCTCGTGGCCTTGGCGGGCCGGGCTGTGGCAGGGCTTGGCCTTGCTGGTGCTGGATGTTGGGCTTGACATCAACACCATCTTCGCCTTGCTGGTCACGAAGCACCACCTCTTCGCTGCGGTGATCAGCTTCCTGGTGGCTCGCAGTGTGCTGAAGCAGCTGTCTGCCCTCCCTCCTTGGCGTCTCCGCGAGGCCTGCAGGAATGGAGCCTGCTTCCCGGAGAACCGTTGAGTTGTCTTCCACAATCTTGAGAAAGCACCGAGTCAGAGACATAGATCTAGAGGTCGTAGTCAGGTATACAACACTTTCAAGACGTGTCGAGCCAAGCTCTCCATCCCTGAGTCTCCCTGCGTCACACGCACATGATGCACAGGCGATCAAGGACTCCTTGCGCACAGGCCTCATGCGGAAGGACCTCTTGGACTTCATCGAGGTGGCTTGGACTCAGCTCGGGTCGTATCCCAAAACCACATCCTACAGAGCATCTCTACAGTGCCCATATCCTAGATGATCCTTACAGCGCCCTCATAAGACGTGGATGTTCAAAGTAAAGGGCCTGCTTCGGCGTTTGACAGGGACTTTTTGACTTGAGTCTTCGTGTTGTAGCTTGGAACCATGGCAAGCGAAGCTTCTTCTGGCAAGTGCCGCAGCCGCTGTTGAGGAGGAGCAACGCTCGGAGGCATTTTTCTCCGGGTGCATCACCGCCTACTCGCTTCTCTACTCAGCCCAGACGGCTGATCAACTGCTTGTGCAGTTCTTGAGCCTCCTCCTGAGCACGTGGCTTTTTGCAGGCGGGATGCACATATATACCGGTGCGTCAGCTTGAGGCGCACTTTTTTTCGTGGCCTGTGGAGTTTTGACAAGTTTGCAGGCTATGCTGTGCGAATTTGTGACCTGGAGTTCGAGCTTGCGCCCGATGACATCCCGGCCAGTGAAGAAGCACCCAGAGCCGACACCGTGGGCGTCCGCATCGATGCAATCGAAGAGGACCTTAGAATTTCTCCACTGCGTTACTTTCCTTGGTTAGCTTAGGGTTCTCCATGTTGGTGGAGAATGGCTTCCTACACTAGGTTGTCAAACCATGTTTCCAGGAGGAGCAGAGCCAGGCCGTGCAAAAACAAACGGTTGTCTTGTCACAAGGCTTGCGGTTCATATTGCAATGTATGTATGATCTTGCACATGGGTATGTTCGGACGTCGGAGTCGCTTTCTACGCAAGGACTCCGCGGCACCGCAGCACGCTCGGGGAAAAGACGCCCCTTCCGAGAATTTGCATGAGGAGACCAGGGAGCGCTCGGAGCAGGGGAGCTTTTAGGGCTTTATTGAAGATGCTAGCAGCGGAGGCAGACCGTGGGACCCGACAGAGTCTTCCCACCAGTGTCAAACCACGTTTGTTCAAACCGATGCGTTGTACTCACAAAGGTCTGGTACGACTTTATAGAGATGACAGAGGTATTGTGAGATGTATATGAATATCTATTATCCATCTACCTATCCATCTATCTAATACATTAATCTATCTATCTATTTACCTATACACATGGTAAAGTTGAGTTTGAGTGTAGAGAACATCGCCAAAGGTTGTCGCGCCCTCATGCGTGGACACGCAGAGATCCCACCGAAATTCCCGGCAATGACTGACGGTCTAAGTACGAGGACTCGCAGTCCCCCTGCGATTTCCGTGTCCAGATACCAGCACGCATGCGCTGACCACAGCATCCATGCCCGCACCATGAGCTAGCAGAAGCAGTGTGGCATAGGATTTTGCCAGCTGACTGAGCAGCGTCCCGAGCACAGAAGTACAGAGATGCCAGCGGTGCAGCTCATGAGATCGCCCTATGCGATTGCTTCCTTCGGTTACGTCTGGAGTGAGAAACCGACTCGAACAGCAGTCGCGTTTCCCTGTAGTGCCCAACCCTAGATGCTTAGAGTACCGAAGGAGGAAGGGCAACTGTAGTAGGGGCAGACATTAGAAAAGCTGATTGCATCTACCAGTTCCTGATCATGATCAAAGCCCTCAGAAGCCCAGAGTGCCAGTGCACGCGCCCGAAAGCGTGCGACACGACATGGCCGCATGAGTTTCTTTCACGCCCCCCGATGTTCACTGACAAGGCGAGCGACGGCAAGCGAGAAAGGCCTTGCACAAAAGTGCAAGTATCTCCGAAGAGTAATTGAAGTGTAGTATAGTAAAATCCGGACCAGGATGCTCATTCCATGTTGGGGATAGACGTTCCCGTCTCAAGAAGCGCCCAAAGCTTCGCACCTTGGAACGGCCCCTGAGTCATACACCTTCGAGTCTTATAAGACGGCAGCCGGGTCCATGAGAGGAGCTTCCCGGAGCCCCGGAGCCGGACCTCATGGGCTCAGAATCCGTGCCTGGGCCAACCAGAACAACAAAGTGAATGTTGGAAGGCGTCATATGAGTCATATGTTCAGAGTGGTCCAACCACAACGTGCACTTAAGGTACCTCATGTTCCCTTCTTGGAGGAGGAAGCATGGCAAAGTGCGCCTTGTTCGCCAGGACCTTCAAATGAGGCCGGGGTGCTGTGATGCTGTGTGATCTCGCAGGTTGGGGATGTTGGGAGAGGCGAGGTTTCTTATCCCGTTCGGAGACTGCTGTGATGGAGGCTGCTGTGATGGTTGATGGTGTGGCGTGCGGTAGTGAGAAAGAAAGTCCTCCTGAGGTCTGCGTCTCTGAAGCTGCCGTTGACCATCGCGGAGGACCGTCCTGTTCCTGCATGGAGCAGCGAGGAGAGCTCGAATCCTGTCGACCTTGAGTCGAAGTTGCCTCCAGCCAAGAAGGGCAAAGCTAAGGGTTTGAAGAAGAATGGGGGGCGGAGCACCCGGAAATCCAGGGCCAAGCCCTCCAGGGTCTCCACCGGTGCTGCTTGAGCACCTGCAGAGCCCTTGCAGCCCCCCATGCACACAAGCTCCGGCAAGGGGCATGCGTGACAATGTCACGTTGTTCGAACTCTTTGAGCCGCATGAGGCGAAATCTTTGTTAACCAATTTTTCAGGTGAGCCTACGGCAATCCAAGACATGGCCGATGTCTCATGCAAGTATATCGTACAATGTGTTCAGGACAGTACACTTTCTTCTAGAAAAAACATGCGCAAAAAACACAACGTGCTGTATGTACTGTAGCGTGGCGGTTGCAATTGGCCCACCGGCTTGGGTGCTCTGGCACTCTAGCTTCTGTTGTGAGAATTCTGGCGCGAGGATGCCGAAACAACGTGTCGGGGCTCGATCTCAGCTCTTGCCAAGGCATGTTTTCCTGCGACCCAAAACGTCTGCAGAGTTTGCAATGTCTACTGCTTCATGCCCAGAAAACAGCCGACGATCCCTAAAACATGCAGGCCTAAAAGCACCCCAATCTTCCACACCGAGGCAGGCTTGTGACCAGCAGGCGCGTTGGATTGCGAAGCCCGGGGCCGAGCCTTGCAGGGTTTAGGGTTTAGGGTTTAGGGTTTAGGGTTTAGGGTTTAGGGTTTAGGGTTTAGGGTTTAGGGTTTAGGGTTTAGGGTTTAGGGTTTAGGGTGTGCCCGAACTGCCTCTGTCCATCTTTCCGCTTGGGGACAGAAGGCTTCAGCATCTTTTGTTGGCTCCAGGGCTCAGGGTTTGGAGGTTTAGGGCTGTTTTTTTTTTTTTTTTTGGGGGGGGGGGGGGGGCTTCGGGGTTTAGGGCGTTGAGGCCTTTTTTGTGGGTTAAGGAGGGTTTGGTTGAGCTCTCATAGCTTCAGCTTGGGCCATCTCGGTGGTGGGGGGTGGGGGGCTCCCGGCGCAACCCGGCAACCCCTTCACAGGTCAACCCTCTTCCCTAAGTGAAATCCTGAAGCCTAAAAGTACCCTAAACCCTAAACCCAGCGTAACCCTGAACGTCGCGAACCTTCGGCGCCCCCCCCATCCTTTAGCCCTTTCGAAGCCTCCTATTCCGCGAGAGCCTGAAACGAATTCTGCAGCCCCAAAACTCCTGAAATCCCAAGAGGCTCAAACCCTCAACGCTTCAAATTCAGCTTGAGGTTCAAGGGTCAAGGGTTTGGGGTTTGGGGTTTAGGGTTTAGGGTTTAGGGTTTAGGGTTTGGCGAGGTCGTGGCAGTCGTGGCGGCGAGGTCGCGGAAGATGACTCAAGCAGCTTTCGGGGTGTCGCCTTGCACCCTGACCCCTGGACCCTACAAACCCTAAACCCTCTAAGCCCCCTAAACTCTCTAAACCCCCTGAACCCTCTATATCCCATAAACCCTCTAAATCCCGCAAACCCTTAAGACCCCCTAAACCCTCTAAACCCCCTAAACCCCTAAGCCCTCAACCCCTACGACCTAGACCTTCTAAACCCGCTAAACCCCCAAACCCTCCAAACCCTCTAAACTCTACAAACCCTCTGAACCCTCTAAACCCTCTAAACCCATAAACCCCCTAAACCCTCTAAACCCTCTAAACCCCTAAACCCCCTGAACCCAAAACCTTCTAAACCCCCTAAACCCCTAAACCCTCTAAGCCCTTTAAACCCTATAAACCCTAAACCCTCTGAACCCCTAAACCCTAAACCTTCTAAACCCCTAAACCCTCTGACCCATCTAAACCCCCTAAACCCTCCAAACCTTCTGAACCTCCTAAATTCTAAGCCCTCTAAACCCTCTCAACCTTCTAAAGCCCCCTAAACCCCCTAAACCCTCTAAACCCTCTAAACCCTCTAAATCCTACAAACCCTCTAAGCCCCCTAAACTTAGAACTGTACTTATAACCCACTCGTAAGCCCCTCAAGTGCCCCAATATGCATATAAGTACAGTTGTAAGTACAGTTAACATTGGTTAGTGAGCACCATGAACCTCCAAACCATTAACCCGTTCAGAGTTTTGGAGCCAACTGTTGCCAGTGGGTGTAGGGCACAGGGTTTAGGGTTGGTCTTTGGGATTTCGGGCTTAGGGTACAGGGTTTTTAGGGTACACTGTCTAGGGTTTCGGCTACCAGGGGAGCTGCGCGGCGTCGCAAGATCGTGAGAGCCCCCAAGCTCCATGAAGCGACTTTCTGGGGTTTCCAAAGCGGCCCCAAGAGCCCAACAAGAGCTTTTGGGACTTATAGGGGTTGGTGTTTAGGGGTACTAAGGGGGTTTAGGGTTTCATGTTTAGGGGTAGTAGCGCCGAAGCGGAAGCTCCTCAGGACACGCGTCGGGGCTTCCGGGTTTTAGGGGGGCCGGGTGCTAGAGGAGGCAATGACCCGACATCCCGATCCCCGCCAACGACCATTCTCCGAAGCAACTTCTAGAGTGGTCGACTTGCAAGCCCGCGAAGCCCCCAAATGCAGGCCTGAACTCCCGAACCCCTCAACGCCCTCAACTCCCTGACCTGCCGAAGCGCTTACAACGCTGCCTTGAAAACGCCCTACAAACCCCATACGCCCTCGAGAAACCCTGTAAACCCTCTATAGGCTCTACACCCTAACCCTTCCCCCGGCTCCCCATCCGTTCAACTCCAGGTCCGGCCCCTTGCGCTCACCTGGTAAAGGGCGAGCCCGAAGGCGCCTTGCTTGGGGCTTCATTGGATACTTTCAGGTAGAGTTTAGGGTTTAGGGTTTAGGATTTAGGGTTTAGGGTTTAGGGTTGGTTAAGTTGAGGGTTTAGGGAGGGCTTTTAAGGGGTTTAGGATCCTTAGGGCCTTCGGGTACTTGAGGGTAGGGCCATAAGTCGGGTCATAAGACATGAAACCCTACAAGGCTTGGTAGCCCAAATGAAAAAGGAAAAGTGTGGCCCGATGATCCTGTGGCTACTGGGCGACCAAATAAGTCTTAGACTTACCGATGAAGCTCCAAGTAGGGTCTTTTGAATGGCTTGTGGGTTTCAGAACTGGCTGCAGGCCTTTTTGGGGCTTCGGGTTCAGAGTTTAAGGATGTTGTTCGGGGTTTGCTTGGGCTTTCACAAAGGGGGCTTCATGAAGGCGTGGTTCAAGGTGTTGCGGCTTCGGACGGGAAGGTTTAGGGTTCATGTGGTTCAGGAAAGATTCTGGCTTGGGTTCTTGAGGGGTTGAAGGCGAGAGGGGTTGAAGGCGAAGGATTCGAAAGGGACTCTCCGTGACTAAGGCAGCCTGAACATCATGCTGCATTGGGATTAGGCTTGAGCTGTCTCTGGGGGTGGGTTTCCTTCGGGTGGAGTGGAAGGGTGAGGGGGGCCTTTCCTGAACATTGTGATGGGTGTCTTCGTGATTGTTCGGCGTTAGGGCTGTTCGTATCTAAAGGCGTGCTTTGCAGCATTGAAGGCACGAACATGTTAGCCCTAAACCCGAAACCCTAAACCCCAAACCCTAAACCCCCGAAATTTGTTTTGCTCCCAGGCTGGATGCCTAGCACAGCGCAGCCACGGGCGGGGCGCCTGCCCAGGCCATCTGGGTTGAGAAAGCGTTTCCGGTCTTCGAAGACGCGGTGACCTTTTTTTGAAGGTTGTAGGGTTTCAGGTCTGGTGCTCGCTCAAGGGATCAGGGGATATAAATATAGACATGCATATATATATATATAAATGATCTTGCATTAGCATACACTTTGTTGTATCTAGTTCGTTCAAGGCAAGTCTCCTGAATCGGTTGCTTAAGGGTTCGGGATGGCGCGGTATCGAGGCCAGCCATTCAGTTGGTGCACGCTTTGGATGTCCGGATCGTTCTGTTACGCCCGGTTTCAAGAGCGTCCCTGGCCTAACCCACCCCCGAAAACCCTAAACCCTCATAACCGTCATAACCAAAGAGCTCCACGGAGTGTTGGGACTCCAGGCTATGGTTATGCCAATGCATTTGTTGGAGTTCAGGTTTGCCGCTTTGAGGGCACACCTTAGTTCAATGAAATTCCCCCCCCCCCCTGCTCTCAGCCGCAACCCTTAAAACTTACAATCAAATCCCTTAAGCCCTCTCCAGATCGAAGCCTGCGGAATTTCCCTTCTGCTGTTCATAATCTTTGTTCTGCCTACGAGGAACTTGACTTGAAGATCCATCGAAGGTGTTCCTTTGTGCAGCTTGTCGCTCTCATCAAACTTGCGATTTTCGCTGTTTCTTTCGATCCTCGCAATCAATATCTTCTCATGAAAGTCCTTGGCCTTCCAGTTCGGAGTTCAGTGTTTGGGGTTTCAAGGGGTTTCGCAGCTTCACTGGGGCTAAGATTAGGGCGGTTCAGCGTGAGTTTGAAGCCTCGTGCGGGTTTTGTGGGCATATTTGGGGTTTGGGGACGGGGCTGCGGGTTAGGACAGCAAGGTTAAGAGTTGTGCGCAAGTCTCAAGCTCGACATGAATGGCTGAGTGTTTCTTTGGAAAGTTTGTGTGGTTTTTTCTGGTTGTTGGGAGTGGGGGTTCGAATCTGGGCTTTCCAGCTTTTGGTTTAGGACTGCGGTGTTCATGAGGGCTTGGGCTTAGAGCGGCAAGCTTTCTTATTGTTGTTTCGGTTGTAGGGCTTCGACATAAGGTTGATTGGGCTTATCAAATCTCAACCCTAAACCCTAAACCCTAAACCCCAAACCCCAAACCCTAAACCCGAAACCTACAGGGGGGGTCAGGGGTTCAGGGTTTAGGGCGCCTTTCTTGTGGGTTAAGGAGGGTTTGGGTTTGTAGTCAAGAGTCCAGAGAGGCTTTTGCGGATGAGCTCTCATAGCTCAAACTGGGGCCCTCTCAGTGATGGGGGATCCTGGTGCAACATCGGCAACCCCTTCGCAAGGCACCAGGCCCCCTTCGCTAAATGAGATCCTGAAGCCGATTAAACCCTCCCCTACACGTGGGTGGCTGTCAAAATTATGGTCCCCTTTTTGGATCCCGATAATACGGCACCTAATCTTTAGGGTACCCCATAAAGGGATGATTTTGACCGCCACCCATGTAAACCCTGAGCCCAACGAAGCCGTAAAGGTCACGAACCTTCGGCGCGCC